CCCCAAAACCCCAAAACCCCAAAACCCCGCAATTCTTAGATTATAATCAAATTTGCAAATAAAATTTAAGTAAATTTAATATAAATAATAACTGGCAATGAAGCTGCTCTCTAAAAATCTGATATTGATTTTCACTTACATGGATTAATTTGAATGTGTCAAAATGCAGACTATATGCAAGGACGCTTACTATTTATATTTCCCTAAAATATTGAAGACTTTCTACCTTGATAGGCAATATTTACATCTTTATTTAGCACACAAAAGAAAGATGGTCGTTGCTTACTTAGACAATTATAAAGGAAAGAAAATATCGTTTAAAAAACATAAAGAAATCCCTGAGAGATTAAAGTACTTCTCTACTATTTAGTTTGAGAATAATGTACTATTATGCGGGGGATTGAATAGCAAAGAGGAAAACCCAGAGGATCCACTATCATAGCAATTCGATTATGTTTACGATGACTCTTTTCTCTTTGATGTGAAACATACAAAAGTCCTAAATAAAATGCATATGCACATGAAAAGAGCAAAGCATTGTGTCACAATATAATAAGATCCAGTCGATCAATTCAATAGACTTGTGCTAATTATTGGAGGAGTATATATTACCTATCATAAAGATCTGTTTAAGAAAACAACTTATTAGAAGTATCACGACACTGCAAATGTTGAATACTACTCAATGAAGACCTAATCTTTTGAAAGATATAATGCTAAATTATCAATAGCTAGACATTCAGCTGCAGCTTGTAATCTGCATAACTATACCTATGTAATTGGAGGCCATACTGTTGATCATCCCTTAAAGTATATAAACACCATTGAAAGATGCCACAGATCAGTTCCTTCGTCATTTTTTGAAAAGTTTGATGTTAAGTAAAAGATCGGAGTTGATCTAAACATACAAACTCTGCTAAGTGTAGCCATCCCGGAGGACAGAGGTATTTTGATTATTGGCAGCTCCAGAGATGATTAATGGAACAATGAAGGATTTTATATAGATTTGAAGGATATGTCAATGAAAAGATCAAAGTTTTAGTACTCAGTAGGACCCATAAATGATTGGAAGAATTCATATACAAACTATGAGCAAAAGATTAATTTTCTGACTGAGCAATTTTAAATTTTGAGATTTGGAGTTCAAGCTTGTGAATGGAGTCTATTTGATTTGAATGATATAAAAACTGAAAAAAGCAAAGAATATTTGGCTAAAAAAGAATAGAAAAGATTGAAGAAATTGGAAAAAGATAAAAACAAAATACATGAAAAGTATATTTATGATGATGGAAGTCATCTATACTATGAAGACAATAAAAACCATAACTACTATTGATTTATTGATTGATTATTTCTTAGTTTTGATATAACTAATAATTATAAGCATGGGGTTTTGGGGTTTTGGGG